AGAGCAGCAGAGAGGCTGGTGGAGGGAGAGACTCCAGCAGCACCCCACGAATAAGAGACATCCAGATGCTTGCTCACTCAGGTACCCCCTGCCCTTTCAGAGAGGGAAATCGGGCCACCCCTTGTTTGTGTGCTCGGTGAACATCCCAGTGTCCCTGGAGCCCTGCCCCCACCCCCAGATGCCACCATCCATGATGCTCCCCAGCAATGGAAGAGAGTCCACCTCTCTGCACCCTCTGACAACAGGAATATTAGCAGTGAGCCTCCGGGAGCTACTTGGGTCAGCTCAGACTCCCCTTTCAATAAAGGGCGGCATTGCCGGGGTAGGAGTCAGGGACCAAGATGACTCAAGTGGGACCGTGGAGCTGCAGGTGGACACTGAGCTTGGTGTACACAGGGACTCACACCCTCCCTGCTAGGCTAGTCACTCTGAATTCCCACGTCCCAGGACCCAGAGGTGCCAGCCTTCCTAAGAAACTGAATCACAGAGCTTGTGTCCCTCGCTGGCCTGTGACCTCAGAAAGAGCCGCGGGGAGGCTGGCACTTCCTGCTCTCACCGTTAAGGGTCTTCCTCCTTGCTGGTGAGACTTGGCTTGGGAACCAGGGCTCCCACGTTGGCCGCGCACTAGTAGGGGAGTGACCTTGGGTGTGTGGCTCGCAGGACCTTCCAAGTGCAGCTTGATTTGATGGAAAATGCTTAGGCGTGTCCGAGCAGCCTCGGTCTGGGCAGGGTGGTGGGATTTCTTGGCAAGCAGCCAGCTGTGCCTCAGTGTGTGTTGATGTTGTCACCTGACCAGCCCTGGGAGAATGAACTCATTAAATAAAACAGGTGGCAAGAGCCTCGTGGCGTGTGGTTCCGTGTGACGTGTGTAGACAGACTTGCAGCCATGGCCATGCTGGGCCCATGCTTTCCTCTGAAGTCATGCCCTGATGTGGTCATGCACCGGTGGTTCTTGGAGGGGTCAGTGGGCAGCTTACCAGCATGGGTCCTCTCCAAATGCCTTGACCATCTCTGGAAGGGGCATGGTGACCTTTCTCTGTGAGTGTGACCACCTGATGAGAGAGTCGTTAGCTGGTGCTTGGCAGCGCACAGTGTCTGTGCTGCCACCACTCCGCCCTGTCACTGTACACAGACGTAACCCCAGCCCAGCCCGCTGCCCTGGACGGGGCTCGACCTCAAGGCGACCTCATGCACAGGACTCTGTGCGGTTTCCAGTGGAGGACAACTGTGGAGGATAGGTCACCAGGGCCTTTCTTCCGAGGCACCTTCGGGTGGACTTGAACCACCAGTGTCTCATTGAAATGTAGACAGCACAGGCACGAAGGAGCCGGCCGTGCTCCCAACCCTGCCAAACTACACTCCCTGCCCTCGAGCCGATGCCAACTCATAGGGACCCTAGGGGACGGGGCAGGGCATTCCCTGTGGCTTTCTGAGATCGCAGCTCTTTACGGGGGTAGAAGGCCTCTTCTCCCCAGGGAGGTGGTTTATCTTCCCGAGACACGATCTAGGCATCCAATGGTTGCCCATTAATTAATGCACTTTAATATCTGTCTAAACGGTTTATGGTACCTAAAAATCTTGGAAATTTTCTTCCAACCAGCACAGCACAAAACGTAATTACTGTGGAGATACGGAATCTGGTGGGCTAATGATTCAATTCAGTTTGCATTTTTCATCACCTTTACACATTAAGTGGAGGAGCCCAGGTGGCATCGTGGTTACAAGTTGGCCAGCTAACCCCAAGGTAAGCAGTTCAAACCTACCAACCACTCCATGTGACAAAGACTTGACTTTCTACTCCTAGAAAGAGCTGCGGTCTTGGAAACCCGCAGGGGAAAGCTCGATTCTGTTGTATGGGCCCGCTCTGAGTGGGATTGACTGGATGGTCGTGAGTTACACATTAGGCAGTCACTATGTTAGTTTCTATGATCGGTAAACTGGGACACATTTGGGGAAAACTCTCTCTAGTGGGGTGCAATTTAGCTCTCCCTGTACATAAACCAAAACCAAAGAATCAAACCTCTTGCCATTGAGTCAATTTCGACTTCTCACAACCCTGTGGGACAGACCGGAACTGCCCAGTGGAGAGTGGACACTGATTGGAACACTCCCAGTGGCCTCTTCTCTCTCTCTCTCTCTCAGTCTCCTGGTGGGGTGGGCCGAGGTTGGCATGACTTTGCTTGACACTGTGTCCCTGCAGGCCTCCTCCTTTGCTGACCACAGTCCTCCAGCACACTCCCCCCTGTCCACCCCCAACTAGATCTTCTTGGATGTCCTTCCCAATATTTCCTTTACCCACAACCCTCATTCTAGGTGTTGCTTTGGGGGGACCCATCCTAAGATTCCACCCAAGTCTCCCTTTCATCTTTAACCACAGAGCCCTGGCCGTGGTCTGGGAGCAAGATGGTCAAGGCCAGGATTGTATTTTCAAGGGTGGCCGCTAGGCTGAGAGGTTACAGACGATGTGAA